GTGCTAGTCGGTGTCGTTTGAGGGTTCGGATTTAGAATGCCGTTACGAAAATGCACAAAACTTAAGTGCAAAGTAAACGAAGCTTGCGTATTGAAATGTTTCATACAGAAGATACACAAAAAATTGTTTTGTTGTTGTGCTGCTGCATTATAAAATGTATTGTTATTATTATTATTGCTGTTGCCATTCGGATTATTCGAGTGATTATTAGGCGTAGTTGCCGCAGCAGCAGCAGTGTTGTTGGCACTTTGGATTGCGTTGCTCATATGCAGGAGAGAATTTGAAGTGGCTGCAGACGACACGTTCTGTTGCGCTTGAACTGCAGCAGCTGCAGCCAGAGCTCGCTGCTGTTGTTGAGCCACGAGAAGTTGTGCCACCTGGAATCAAATTTCAAAATTTAAAATTTGCACAGTAAATTCAAAGAATCCACTTCCGAAAACTATCCAAAAAAATGACGAAATTAGTTTTTAAAAATTTCATCGCTAAGATTTGCTTGCATCCCATTGCAGATTACTTAAGCAAATGGAGCTAAAAACTGAATTTAGAAGTGAACTCCTGAAGGGAAACAGGTCGGACTAACCTTGTTCATATCTTCAGGTGAAAAGTTGACGGCTTGAATTTGTTGATTCGAGGGTTGACGACGCGATGGAGATTGCTGCGAAGAGGAGGACGACTCTAAAGATTTTGGAGTTTCGTTCAACGGAGTGCTTGTTCGCGTGGTGGAGTGACTTCTGAAACACACATTCTCATCAAAAGATGCAACAAACTTCAAAAGTGAATCGAGAGAAATCCGAAGTCTCTAGGCGCAATATTTCTTCAGAATCATCCGAAAAATCTTCAAAATACAGCACCTCGATCACTTGAAAGCGCTTCGATTAATTTCTTTCACACATTTGTTCAAAACTTCAACTCCTTCTCCATAACTGCCTATTATCAATCTACAATTCCTATCAAGAATGCACAGAAATTTCCGCTCCCACTTAAAAAATCCCTCAATATCCGTCGAAATTTCACTTCTCTAAAACGACAACTCCTATTGTCTATCGTTAACCAAACGATTACCATAATAAATTCCAAAATAAAATAGAATTGATTCATCAAACTATCTCACTGGATGCATTCTTCTTATGCCGACTAATTAAACTAAACAATTTGTTTTAAATGCAGTTAAGAAATTTGAAAAAGTGCTCTTTTTTATGAGCAATACTATGAAAATATTTTTTCCCGACTAAAACAAGGGTGTGATTTTGAACGCAAAAAAGTTTGACATCAAAGAATCAGAGTGAAATTACACAAAAATACCGACAGTAGTAAATTAAGTTGTTCAACAAATGAATATCTCAATACTTTTTATTACTTCCAACCAATAATCTTCATAAAAAATCAAAAGCTGCACGTGTCATCTTTGTTTTTTTACTTAATAGACTAAGGAAAGAGGCTCAGATTCATACCGCTTTTTAAAAAACTCAACTTGTTTGCAGCAATTGTTTTAGTACTTTATCATAGGTTTGTAATGGTCAGGAAGAAGTTTTGCGTTTCTTAAAGATAAAAACCGATAGACCATCAAGTAG